ATGTTTGCTGGGCTGAATTTTATTAGGCCATAATCTGTTTACTTAGTATTTGCATATTTAATGTTGGATAATTTGGTGCAGTGTAATTGAGGACTTGCCTTCATTCTTCAGTGATTGATCCACTCAGTTTGTTGAATAGGGTTGCAAATTGACTATTTTAAGTTGAAATAAAAATAAAATTTTTTCTTTATTAAGTCTAATACAGGAGTGGGGAACCTTTTTTCTGCCAGGGGCCATGTGGATATTTATAACATCATTCTTAGGCAATACAAAATTATCAAATTAAAAATTAGCCTGCTATAGATTGAGTGAATTTTAAGTCCTGATTGATGTTGTCTTGGCAGGGCCTGACCAAATGATTTTGCAGGTATTATGCAGCCCACGGATCAGACTTTCCTCACCCCAGCTTATACTATAAAATGGGTTCTGTGTTTACAACCTCATTGTATCTCCCCGCAAACCCCTAATGTATTAGATAAATATTCTAAAATTAGCAATGAAAATACAGTAAATTAAATGTTAAGGATGTTTTTAATCCTTACAAACTGGACTTCTTGAATTTTGTAAAAGTTTGAAACATTGAACCATAACAAGCATGGGCTGTTTTTCATTTTTCCACCAGTGTTTCTCAAACTTGTCTGCACATTAGAATTGCTTGGAAAACTTGGAACAGTCCCAGAGCCAGAGGCTGCACTGAACCAAGATGAACTGAAAAGGAATGATTAGGAGTAGAACCTGAATATTAGTATTAGATTTCCTTGGGTGATTCCAATATGATCTTTATAGATCACATAGATCATATATATATATATATATATATATATATATATATATGTGATAATATAGATCATATCTATGGAGAATGTTACAGATACTGATAGTATTTCTGAAGTTTGTTATTTTCCTCTGTAGTTGAAATAAAGGCTAAATTTTATGTAGAAGTTAGAGAATATAAAGGTTTTTTTTTTTTTTTTATTTTTTAAACTCGCTTAAGATTCTCTGGCTAAGAATGGCTTCCTAGGAGTGGACATTTGGTGCAGGCTGCTTGAGATCCCCACATCCCTGTCAGAGTACTGGCTCTTGTCCTGGCTGTTCTGCTTCTGCTTCCAATTTCCTGCAAATGTGCATCCCGATGAAGCAGTAGGTAATGGCTCACTTGGATCCCTGCTACCCATGAGGGAGACCTAATTGAAGTTCAAGGCTCGAGGTTTCACCTTGACTCAACCCAGGCTATTGTGGACATTGAAGGAGTGAACTCGCAGATGGAAATCTTTGTCTCTGTCTTTTTAGCTCTGCCTTTCAGATAAACTGAAAATATATAAATAAAAAATTTTAATGGGAGAATGCCTGTCAGACATTTCAGATATAACTTGCTTATCCATTGTAGTCTTTTTTAAACAGAAATGTGTATTTGTTTTAGAGGTTTTTAAGATGTTATTTGATATATATATGTACATATTTAAATATTTTTATAGTTTAAGGCTCATATAAAAGGCTAATTGTTAAACATTTGAAGAAATGAAATAGTCTAACTTAATCCATAAAAATCATTTAACTTTCTAAGTTATAGTAACTCACATGTAATTTATGTAATTCATTTCATACTTTTTGTTCTCTGATATTATGTTTTCAAATTTAAATATATATCAAATATAAAAACTTGCAAAAACTTCTGGTGAATGCCCATCTGTCTGCCACCTACAGATTCTACAGTTATTTACTAGTTTTGCTATATATTTTCTGTTTATTCAGCATTCTATCCATTTTTAGTGCTTCCTAAAATGATATGCAAGTATCAGAACACTTGCTCTTAAACATGTAGGCATGCACACTGTAAACTAGAATTCAGTTCTTTGTAAAATTTTGGAAGCAAAAAATGCATACTCTTAAGTGTACCTACTATTAGTTACTGTTTTTTAATTTAAAACTTGTTTGAAAGGCAATGAGAGACATCAGTCTTCCATCCACTGGCTCATTCCCCAATTGATCACAATGTTCAGGGGTTGGCCAGGCCGTAGCCAGGAGCCCAGAACTTAATCCAGGTCTCGCTGGTAAGTGGCAGGAACCGCATTATTGAGCCATCATGTGCTACATCCTAGGGTCCACATTTGCAGGAAGTTGGACTGGACGTGGAGCCAGAACTCAAGAGGATGCAACCCATAGTGAAGAAAATGCAGAACGTTACCATCATCCCAGTGTCCTGCCCTTTTCCAGTAAACCTTCTTTATTTTGTTCACCATAGCTCAGCAGTGGCTGTCCCAGGACGTTTTATATCAGCAAAAGCATACACTGTTTACTCTTGTGGGTCAGCTTCTTTCAGTCAGCATATTTAAAAAATCTGTCCATGCTATCTCCTGTATTGGTTGTTGGTCCCTTTTTATTCCTGAGTACGTGTACGTGAATCCTGAGTCTAATACATGAATATACTGGAGTTTATTCTTTAACTGGCGGACATTTGGACTGTTCACAGAGTTTGGCTCAGACGAATGTGGTTGCAGTGAACATGCAGGCCGTTTTATGAAAATGTCTTCTCTTAGAGTAGAAGTGCGAGGTGATGAGATAGGAATATACTTCCTTTTAAAAGATTGCCAAGTCTTTCCGAAAGCAGTTATACCATTTTCTGAGCTTACCAGTGGCATGTAGAATTGAGGTTGCTTTCAGGGGTGGAGATCATCCAGCCTGTGGACCACGTGTAAGGCTCACAGAATCATCTGGTCTGGCCCTGCCAAGGCAACTGCAGGCAGGCAGTAGAAATTCAACAAATCTAGAGCAGGCTGATTTTTAGATTGATAATTTTGTATGGCCTGTGAATGACATTGTAAGTATCCAAATGGCCCTTGGCAGAAAAAAGATTTCCCATTCCTGCATTATCATCAATATTAAAAAATTTTTAATGTCATATCATTAATATTAAGTGTTCTTTATTTCTGAAAATTTTCTTGGGTACACTTTTTTTGTATATGATGAAGTGGTCAAAAGGGAAAAAAACATAATAATAGTACAGTAGATATAGAGAAATGAGATTGCTTATTTAATTTTTTTTAACGATTTCAGCTTCTGGCAAAATACTGATTGAACCTTGGCTTTAATTTTGGTCATATTTCCTGGCATATATGGAGATATGAATTGAATATTTAATTATATTGTTAGTATTTAGAATTAATGTAGTTCTTTCAGTCCAAATAGGGAAGTAAAACAAGGGTAAGTGATTTAATGGGCCAAGTAAGCAGTTGGAGAAAAATATTAATTTTTCATATAGTTTACTGATAAAATAGTTTTAATGTCTACTTCATAAGTGAAGTAGACATTAAAATTGAAATTGAAATTACTAAATGAAATGTTTCCTTGTCACACTTGTCACTCTTTTTGATGTCTGTTTTCCTAATCTGTAATATAAAAATTAGTATTTAATATATCTAGAGAACATGGTTATTTAGTGAAATCTGATAATGGCTTTACAGTTTAAAAATCTTTTTTTTTCTGTAATTACTGAAATTCTAGTTCCAAGGGTAGTTTGGATTTTATAGTTATTTTTCTCATTTTATTAAAAAAAAATCTGTTCGAAATATATAGTTAAGGTAATTGTGCTTAAGAGAAATGGGCCATATGTTTGGAGGTACTTAATTTCAAATAAATTGAATCTTAATTCCACTGAAAAATTTCATGACTTTTTTGGGAAGACTAAACTGGTTTTGGGTATACAGTGAAATAGCTACTCATAGGTATACACCTATATAGATGGAGTTGGGGAGAAAGGAAGAGACAGACACTATTGTATTGATTTTTAAAGCAGCTCTTCTGGAGTTTGTTTTTCTGATTTCCAGCTTCTGTCAACTCAGTTTTAGGTGAGTATAGTGTCCTAGAAGGGAACAGATAGTCTACCTTTAGTATCCTAAAAGGTTATTTTCAGACATTAAGCAAGCTGTAGTTCATGCACATTTTTTTGTTTGTTTCTAGTGTAGTAGATTGAGAGCAGCTCAGTGAAGCTAAGCCATGAATTTATTCAAGTGTCAGTCCTGACTGAGGTGATAATGTGGAATGGTTTTTCCTTAAGTGAATAGGCATGAAATACATGTTTAAGGGAATGGCTACTTTATCTTACACAGGGTGTATCATATTCTTTCACATTGTTGGCTTATGTCACTTATTTTAAATGAACATGTATTTTCAAGGATTTTTGTATGTTTTGCTTACTTGAAACAATAACTAAATCACTTTATTCGTTTTAAAATGTTTTAGTTTTGCTTTTTGTCAAAAGTGCAAGTAGTTAAATAATTATATCTTTTAAGCATATCATATTTTTATATTTTTGAGAAACTACTGACTTGGTTTAAATCAGTGATTGTTTTAAAATCAGTGATGCCTTTACTTACTATTTAGTGAAAATGTATGTAAGCTAATTCCCATAAAGGATTAATACCTGAAAGAATAAATTCTACCTTGACTAAAAGTTAATTGTAGAAAACAAAAACTTGTCATTTATTTGAATTCTTAAAAAATGTATAAAATTTTTTTGTACTTTCTGATCAATTAGGTCTGCAAAGCTGTTTCCTAACTAAAAGTAATTTAATAAACTAGAAATATGGCTGTGTTTAACTTGATAGCTGTAGCAAAAATGAAATTAAGGCCAATTCCATATTAAAATTTCACAGATATGCCCAATATATTAGATATGTGAGATATATTATTAGAGTTGTGCATACATATCATCTTGTAATAATTTATATTCTGTATAGTATATATCATAGTGCTAAATAAATATGGTTTTAAGCTTTTTTTTTCTCAAAAAATATACAGTCTATTGCCAATAAGAAAGAATCCTGTTAATGTTAATGGAGGTTAGGAGATGTAAAGCAGGAAGAGCTGACTCATTTTCTACAGTCTGTCTGCCAGCTGAAAAGCAACAGCTTAAACTTTTTTCCTGGAGTGTATTTTGAGTGAATGATTATCTGCTACTGGGAGAGTGCCATATAACTTACTTAGCTTTCATCTTTCCACAGAGCTCTTTAGTAAGTATTCATAGTCAGTTTTTGGCAGCGTTAGAATCACTGAAGGCATTCTGGGATGTTATGGATGAAATTGATGAGAAGACCTGGGTACTTGAGCCAGAGAAACCTACACGGAGTGCAACAGCACGCAGAATTGCAATAGGTAAGCCAAAAGAGGACTAGTTGTTTCTTTGAGGTGTTTGATTTTATTTAGTATTACTCAGGGAAATGAACCTAAAGATGACAAATTCTTAGATGAAATTTCTTTGTGTGAAACTGGCTATTAAAAGTGATGTAAGATGTAAAATGATTCTATCACTATATATTTAAAAGTAAACATTTTTGGTGAAATGGGAAAATACGGAAGTGTTTCATCATGGAAGGTAGTGATCCAAGTGAAGTAACATTGAAAGACAATGTTAAATTAAGAGTTTTTTGGGCCGGCGCCGCGGCTCACTAGGCTAATCCTCCGCCTAGCGGCGCCGGCACACCGGGTTCTAGTCCCGGTAGGGGTGCCGGATTCTGTCCCGGTTGCCCCTCTTCCAGGCCAGCTCTCTGCTGTGGCCAGGGAGTGCAGTGGAGGATGGCCCAGGTGCTTGGGCCCTGCACCCCATGGGATACCAAGAAAAGCACCTGGCTCCTGGCTCCTGGCTCCTGCCATCGGATCAGCGCGGTGCACCGGCCGCAGCGCGCCGGCCGCGGCGGCCATTGGAGGGTGAACCAACGGCAAAGGAAGACCTTTCTCTCTGTCTCTCTCTCTCACTGTCCACTCTGCCTGTAAAAAAAAAAAAAAAAAAAAAAAAAATTAAGAGTTTTTTTTTTTTTAATTAATTTATTTAAAATAATGAAAGTGTTACAGAGAGAGGAGAGGCAGAGAGAGAGAGGTCTTCCATCCACTGGTTCACTCCCCAGATGATCTCAATGGCCGGAGCTGTGCCGATCCTAAGCCAGGAGCTAGGAGCTTCTTCCAGGTCTTCCTAGTGGGTGCAGGGGCCCAAGGACTTGGGCCATCTTCTACTGCTTTCCCAGGCCATAGCAGAGAGCTGGATTGGAAGTGGAGCAGCAGGGTCTTGAACTGGTGCCCATTTTGGATGCCAATACTGCAGGCAGTGGCTTTACCTGCTATCCCACAGTACTGGCCCCTAATTGAGCTTTTTAAAGGAAATCATTTGAGATACAGGGAGAGGTGACAGAAAAAGAGATTCTTCATCTGCTGGTTCATTCCCCAAGTGTCTGCAACACCCTGGGGACGAAAGCTGTGAGCTTTAAATCCAATCTAAGTGCCCTATGTGGATGGAATTGTTACTTGAATCAATTACCAATGCCTCCATGGGTCTGGATTAGCAGGAAAGTGGAATCTGGAACAGGAGTCAGACTCTCCAATATGGGATCTGGGCATGTCAACCCCTGAATGCCCACTCTACCTTTTAATTAGCTCCAAAATAATAGAGGTTATTCAAAAATGTGTGTAAATTCAAACAAACAAAAATCTTTGTGTTAGAAAAAATGATCTCTTCATGTGTGGATCTTAGATAAGATTGATATAAAAAGATCTGGGCATATTTTCTGACACAATTGTAGAGGAGGAAAAAATAATGTGAAGAGGACCATGTATTGAAGAAAAGCAGAATAAAAAGAATAAATCAGAATTGAGTATTTAAAAATATTTTCTTTTTGATAAATCTATGAAAGTTGTAAGATTTTATATACTAATAAGTATCTCTATGTTACCATATACTATTGACTCTAAAGTGATTAAATACATTTTTATTATGAGACAGCAAAGCCTGAGTTTAATGTTAGAGTGCAGCCTTTAAACAAATTGAACTCACATTAAATACCAAAGCAGTTTTTAAGGTAACCATTTATCTCTGCTCTTTTCCCCCCTATTCTAAATAGATATGTTGTTGAAAGGTATATATTGTGAAAGATATTTTGAAATTCTGAAGTGATTCATTTCCAAATTAGTGAGCAATTTTTATGTTTTCTATCCAGGCACAATAGATTATCTAGGGGGGGAATAGTGACATGTTATTATGAGAAGAAAAAGTCTAATTATGCAGCAGTTCTACAAATAGTATTGTTACTTTCCCAGTTTGAAAAAGTTTAATAGCATTTAATTTGGAATAATTAACCAAATTATGGTATATTTGTGAATAAGTAGATATTAAAAATGAAAAATATTTTCTTTGGAGAACTCTAGTAATTTTTTATCTTTATAGCTCCATTAAAATAATTATTGTTACCAGGTTATGATTAAGTATATTTTTTTACTTCTCATTGTTCAGCATAAACAACCTGGTTTTTATTCACTCTATTTATTTGTCTTTTTTTTTTTTCTGCCTTCAGGAATTGATCTTTCATCTGGGCCAAGTTTTGAATAAATTAATGCAAAGATTAGTTAATATAACTGTTGTTAAGTGAAAGTACTTTCTGGAGCCGTTAGTAGATGACATTGCTAAAGGCTAATAAGTAATTCGTGTTTATGGTAAAGAAAGCATTAACAAATGAGGGTATAAGATAACTTCTTGAATTTTTATTTTCACATTGAATGACTATACCAATTTTCTTTGGCCATTTTTGGGGCAAATTTATACCAATTTTATTTATATTGTTAACCTTTGAAAAAAGGTGTATTCCTTAGGGTATAGAACTTATTCTTATCAAAATGAGATCCAAATGGATTATATATTGTTAACCTTCACAAAATAACTGTAAAACCTCTCTATTATACTCTAATACAGTTAAAAAAGTTTTAGAAGACTGTTGCCAAATAGAAATGACTTTTTCTTATATTCTACAAACTATTTTATTTGTTGCCTTTTTAATTAAGTGAATAATTTCAATTTAATGTGAACTGGATTCTATGTTAATTCGCAAAGGGAAGCCTCACGTAGGGTGAAGGAATTCAGGAATTCAAATTTTTATAAATTTTCATAGGGCTTAAGCATGTTTGTTTTTAGTATTTTCTATTTTTACATTTGACTATAGTTCTTTGAAATGTAAACTTTTCCTTCTATGTCATGGAAAGTAATGTGGATCATTAATTCTGTGACTTGTGATTTTTTTTAAAGATTTATTTATTTATTTGAAAGAGTTAGAGAGAGAGAGAAGGAGAAGCAGAGAGAGAGAGAGAGACGATGTTTTCCATCTGCTGGTTCATTCTTCAATTGGCTGCAACCACCAAAGCTGCGCCAATCTGAAGCCAGGAGCCAAGCGCTTCCTCCAGGTCTCCCACGCGGGTTTAGGGTCCAAGGACTTAGGCCAACTTCTACTGCTTTCCTAGGCCATAGCAGAGAGCTGGATCGGAAGTGGAGCAGCTAGTATGGGATATGGGATGGTGGCACTGCAGGCGGCCTCTTTACCCCCATGCCACAGTGCCAGCCCCAGTGATTTTTTTTTAAAGATTTATTTTTTTATTTATTTGAAAAGAGTTTCAAAGAGAGACAGATCTTTCATCCTCTGGTTCACTCTCCAGATGGCCAAAACGGCTGGAGCTGAGCCTATCCAAAGCCAGGAGTCAGGTGCTTTCTCTGGCCTTCTCACGTGAGTGCAGAGACCCAAGTACTTGGGCATCCTCTGCTACTTTCCCAGGAGCATTCGCAGGGAGCTGGATTAGAAGTGGAGCGACAGGATTTGAACCAGCACCCATATGAGATGCCAGCACTGGCCCCAACTTTTGATATTTTTGACATTAGGCCTTATATCACTTCATAAAAATTTTATTTAAACCGGAATAGGATGGAATTAACCAGAATCCCAATGTAAATTATACTAATTTATGATTCTCCTTGTTTTTTTTTTTTTAAGATCTGAGTATCATTAATGATAATCTTAATTTCAAAAATTACTTCTTTAGATTTAAACTATGTCTTTCTCTATAAAATTACCTATAAAACATTTGGTTAATTAATCTTTTCTTCAGTATACAATAAAAAAGGTGGCCAGACTGACCATTCTTTATTTTTTGTTGGCTTGTTTGATTAGCTGTTCTGCCTCTGAAACTTTTCATCTTTTCATTCTAGGGAATAATGTTTCCATAAATATAGAGGTAGACCCCAAACATCCTACTATGCTTCCTGAATGCTGCTTTCTTGGTGCTGACCATGGTATGGATCTCAGATTTAAATATTTTTAATAGACTCATAAAATCCTGAACTAGCACTGTTAAAATACTCTAAAACTTAATGTTAACCATAATTTTTTAAAATGAAAATGCCTTAACACTCTGTACATTTGTTTAACATACTATATATGATTGGGATTTTCTAATCAGATAAGAAACAAATTCTGTGCCAAATGCGGTTTCACAAAATGTGGGCACCACATCCTAAATTAAACTTATTGTTTATTTTCTATTTGAAGTGGTAAAGCCCCTAGGAATTAAGTTGAGCAGGAACATACATTTGTGGTAGGTATTTTTGCAATATTTATTTTTTTACCTTGCTATGATTTTTCAAACTTGATAGCAGAAACATGTATTTTTTTTTTTTTTTCTGCCTTCAGGGATCCAGAAAACAGTCTGTTACAAAATTTGAAAGATGTTTTAGAAATTGACTTTCCAGCTCGTGCTACCCTGGAAAAATCTGTAAGTTTTATCAGTGTTTTGATATCCAGTGTTACATTAAGTTTATTTAAGTGCTTCTCCCAAAAAAAGTGAGACTGAAAAGGTATGGAATTGAAGGAATGTTTATAACAATTTCTGAACTGCAAGTAATGGTGGCATCAATGAACTTGTCAACCTTTGGAGCTTCCAGGTGTATTCTCTTCATGGTCTCCAGAGGAAAGGTTCAAAGTAGCTAATGATATGTTTGGATTTTCCATAGTATCTGCTTATGGAGGGCTGAAATACAGTTCTAATTATCCTGATAAAAGTATTTGTGAAAAATGGCAATACAGTTTCTCACAATTGAATGTACATGATTACTGCAAAGATGATAAGTCTTTGAGTTGACTTTTGACAAGGTTGCTAAGGTTGTAGATTACTAAATACTGTCAGTGTTCTTTTTTTTTTGCTGTAGTTCCAGAATTTTGAAGTTTAGTAATCACTGGCTAATGTCAAATCCTATCTTTACATACTGCTGGGACATCATGTTGATGTATTACATAGCAAAACTGCAGCAGCCCATTCATGTCAGCCAAGAAAATAATGCTTTTTAGTGATCTGGAAAACACTAGTTTTGTTAGGTATTAAATAGTGAAGTGATGTGATTATATTTCTGTAATGTGTCAATTTTGGTACCTTTATGAAAATTTATTTCCTTTTGAAGGATTTTACTATGGATTGTGGGATTTGTTATAGCTATCAACTTGGTGGTGTCATTCCTGATCAAGTGTGTGACAATCCCCAGTGTGGACAACCTTTTCATCAAATATGTTTGTATGAGGTAAAAGTAAAATAAAAATAACACCAGCAATACTTTTTTCAGCTAACACAACAGAGGAAGTATATGCATTTAAAAGTCTAAAATTCATTCAGCTAATAATGATCCCCTTTTTTGTCATTAACTCCTTTTACCAGTTTATTCTAGATGGTCTTTGCTTCATTGCTTCTTTGTAGTTATCAGTAATGAATGAAAAAAATGTCCTGAAGTATGCAGGAAGGATGGAAAAATCTCTCCAGAACCCATTCATGGACTAGTTTATTGACATATAACAAATTAAGTCTTGTTATCACCATGCAAACTCTAGTCTCATCTACACAAAGATGATGGCAGCAATAAAGTAAAGAGAAACTAGCACTTACTAGTACATATTACTTTTCAAAATAGAATAAATTAATTCTACTTTTGAGAAGAGTGCTTGGTTTTTGTCATCTAAATATCTCATAGCACACTCATTGCAATTTTCTTTTAAGATTTTATTTATTTATTTGAGAGGTAGAGTTACAGGCAGTTGAGAGGGAGAGACGGAGAGAGAGGTCTTCCATCCGTTGGTTCACTCCCCAGATGGCTGCAATGGCCAGAGCTGCGCCGATCCGAAGCCAGGAGCCAGGTGCCTCTTCCTGGTCTCCCACGTGGCTGCAGGGGCCCAAAGACTTGGGCCATCTTCTGCCGCTTTCGCAGGCCGCAGCAGAGAGCTAGATTGGAAGAGGAGCAGCTGGGACTAGAACCGGTGCCCATATGGGATGCCAGCACCACAGGCGGAAGATTAACCTACTGTGCCGGCCCCAGCAATGTTGTTTTATTACTAGAAGTGAAGTATGCTTTCATCCCTATCATGTCATTTGCTGGTTTAGCATTCATCATGGGGCACAGTTGCTACAGGGTACTTCAAAAAGGTCATAGACAAGTAGAATAAAGATAGGTGTATTTTGTGGCAAAAAGATGCTGAAATCAATGCATAATTTTTTAAAAAGATTTTATTTATTTATCTGAAAGAGTTACACAGAGAGAGGAGATGGAGAGAGAAGTCTTCCATCCGCTGGTTCACTCCCCAGTTGGCCCAACGGTTGGACTGATCTGGAGCCAGGAGCCTTCTCTGGGTCTCCCACATGGGCGCAGGGGCCCAAGGATTTGGGCCATCTTGAACTGCTTTCCCAGGCCATAGCAGAGAGCTGGATTGGAAGTGGAGCAGCCAGGACTCAAACTGGCATCCTAATGGGATGCCAGCTTTGCAGGCAGGGGCTTTACCTGTTGTGTCACAACACTGGCCCCAACGCATAATTTTCATGATGCACATTTTCTCTTCTTTTCTTTTTTTTGACAGAGTTAGAGAGACAGAGAGAAAGGTCTTCCTTTCATTGGTTCATTCACCTAATGGCCGCCACGGCTGGTGCTGTGCCAATCCGAAAGCCAGGAGCCAGGTGTCTCTTCCCGGCCTCCCATGTGGGTGCAGGGACCTCCACTGCCCTCCAGGGCCCCAGCAGAGCTGGACTGGAAGAGGAGCAACCGGGACTAGTACCTGGAGCCCCAACCGGGACTAGAACCCGGGGTGCCGGTGCCACAGATGGAGGATTAGCCTAGTGAGGCACGGTGCCGGCCCCATGATGCACATTTTCCACAAAACTTTTGAAATGCCCAAAATTAACTGTACATCTATATACAAAACACACACCTTGTAGTTGTATAGTGCTTTACTTTTGTGCTTGGAGGTAGTAACCAGTGGTTTTTTAAGATTTTGAGAGGCAGAAGTACAATGGGAGGGAGAGGTTTCCCATCCGCCGGTTTACTCTCCAAATGGCCACAATGGCTAGAGTTGAGCCAATCCAAAGCCAGCAACCAGGAGCTTCTTCTGGGTCTTCCATGTGGGTGTAGGGGCCCAGGCACTTGAGCCATCTTGTACTGCTTCCCCTGGCACATTAGCAAGGAAGTAGATTGGAAGTGGAGTAGCCAGAATTTGAATTCGTGCCCATATGGGAGGCCAGCAGTGCAGGCCAGGGCTTTAACCTGCTATGCCGGCCCTACCAGTGCCATCTTGTACTTTACCAATGGAGAACTCAAGATGTCAGCTTACCTTATATAAAAATCATAAAATACCAGTTGTAATTACAGATATACTCTAAGGGAACATGTATGTGTTTCTCTAAAAATTAAGTGAATGTTATTAGACTGCCTCATCCTTGTAATCAGTGGATTGAAAATTATCACTAGCAGTGGGTTAGGACCATAATTACGACTTAAATTTTTAAGATTTTAAGGCATCTTTTATATCAGGGGTTCTTAATTTGTGACCAGTGGAGTTGGGGAAGGTTTGCGAACCCCAGGACCTAGAATGCATTATTTTTATGTCATTTTAGGGTAGAAAATTCTTAAAGGTTATAAACCTGTGGTTTAGCACTCAAATTTCATGTTCCCCGTGTTATTCAGCATATTAATAACCTAGTATTGACTCAGGAAATATAATCCTTTCCACTGAAAAACAGTTAAGATGGTAGGTTTTCTGGAATAAATTGTGTATCAAAAAGAGGGAATAATATCTGGGTTGTATGTAATTTGTGGCTATCCTACATGGTTCCTTTTCTTTTTAAATCTGCAGTGGTTAAGAGGCCTACTCACCAGTAGACAGAGTTGTAACATCATGTTTGGTGAATGCCCATATTGTAGTAAGGTAAGCAAATTGTTAATCACATTTCAAACACTGTGCTTAGCTTTTAGTAATGTGTTTTATAAGGTACGTATGAAGGCACCTTGTGAAATATTGGAAGACAAGTTCATTTCAGTGCAAATATTCTGAAATCTGTTTTAGTATGAATTTTCCATGAATTTCCCCACAGGTGTATACATTTCAGGTTTCTTGGTATGAAAATTCCAATTTCTGTGAAATATCAATTTATCTAAAACTTTTTGAAATATATTGATAAGAAATTTGCAGATTTTCTTTTTTATCACAATTTTTTTTTAAGATTTATTTATCTGAAAGAGTTACACAGAGAGAGGAAGCTCTTCCATTTGTTGGTTCACTCCCCAATTGGCTGCAACGGTCTGAGCCACGCCTATCCAGAGCCAGGAACTTCTTCCGGGTCTCCCACATGGGTGCAGGGGCCATCTTGAACTGCTTTCCCAGGCCATAGCAGAGAGCTGGATGGGAAGTGGAGCAGCTGGGTCTCAAACTGGCACCCATGTGGGATGCTGGCCCCAAAATTAGACTTCTTAGATCATTTGAAACTTATACCATACCATGACCTCATTTGTAGTATAAAGTAACTTTGTAGTCACAAACATTGTTTAAATTTTTTCTCTTTTAATTTTTTATAAAGCCAATTACCTTGAAAATGTCTGGGAAGAAACCCTGAAATAAGAATGTGACGTTTTGTGAAGAGCCAGACACTAAAATTACCAAAAAAATTTTATTTAACATCTTCAGAGAAAGTATAAAGCAAGACATACTAACACCAAAAGGACAAGTATTGTGAAGCCATAATAATACACATCTGCCTTTGCCTCTTCACTAAGAGTCAACTGAAAAATTGTGGGCCAAAGACCAGTCGAACTTTCTGTATTTGTGACTTCCATACCAACTGTCGAAGGGTATGTATCCCACGCTGGAGATCTTGACTTGCTAAATTTATCTGGACTGGTAAAATCTTGATGGGATTCATAGAATGAATGTGGGAATTGTAGGTAGCTAGATTTTTGTGGGAAACTGTTTATTTCATGCAAAAGTTCCTGAGATTCATATTTTTGTCTTCTCCTTATGCTTTCCTACGGGGAAAAAATACATAATTTGTTAGATGGCACAAAATATTTAAATAAATCTATGAGAATGCTAATAACTTATTGGACAACGCGATTAAGTTTTAGGGTATTATATTTCCACAGAAGTGATTTTCAGGTAATGACTCTGGGTTTTAAGTTTCTAAACGGAAACACATAAATTATGAAAACAATTAAAAAAAACTGAAGATGTAACATGTGAAAACTTCTGATCATGAATGCTTTTGCATGTCAAGACAAGTTGTTTAGGCTGTACAGTTTCTTGGAAAACTCCAGCAGACAGCAATAGAGAATAAGTAAACTAGTCACTTGCATTCAGGTGTCTGGAGCTGCTTCCATGTTTTTACATTGCTGTTGACCTGGGCCCCAGGAAGCAGTTTCCTGCTCACATTTAACTAGCAGAACTTTGTATTAGTATCAGGTAACTTAGAAGAGGAGAATTTATAAAACAAAAGAAAATGTAAGTTACCTTCACCCAGAAACATCTAATCCTATATACCATCATTCTTCAGAATAGTTATTGCCTTAACTTCTAAACTGTTATCCTTCAAACAGCCTTTCTCCCTCTCCTTGCAAAAAAGATCACTTTCAAAATGCAGAATTCTAGATCATCCTACATAGGATATATAAAACACAAGAGAAGTATTTTGAAAGTGTTTTAGCTTTTCTATTAAAAAGAAATTACCTGAGAGAGAGATAAATAGTAAAGGAATCAAGTTGAGAGCTAACAGAAGCATCCTAATGCATGCCAGCTTTATTAACTAATGGCACAATTCCAGGGAGACCCAGAAAGAATTCTCCCCCAAACGCCAGCAAATCGTTTTCCTAAAGGCCTAGAGACAGCAGTAAGTAAACTGTAGCAGCACTCACATATAACTTACATTGAGACATGGGATATGCCTCTACTTGGGTAAAAGTAAAGCTCACAGTATGAAAATTGCAAGAATGAGCTACAATAATCTATATACCGAATCTTTACATCAAATGGAAGATCTCTTAAAATAAGTAAAACAAAAACTATTTCCATCTGCTGGTTCACTCCCCAGAACAGTCAGCGCTGAGCCAGGAGCTTCATCCAGGTCTCCCCCCTGGAAGCACTTGGGTTGTCTTCTGCTGCTTTTCCAGGTGAAGGGGAAGTGGAGCAGCTGGGACCTGAAGTGACTCTCATAGGGGATTCCAGTATTGCGGGCAGCATCTTTACCATCTTTTTACCACAAAGCTGGCCTCCAGGAAAGACAGTTTATAACAGAAGTCCACAGAACTCACTGGGCCATACCCTATTTTCTGAATAAGGTTTTAATGGAGCACAGTCACATTCATGTGTTTATATATTGTTTATGGCTGCTTTTGAATTCCAGAAGCAGAGTTGAATAGTTTTGGCAAAAACTATATTGACCCTAAGATTAAATAATTTTTATCTGGACCTTTATGATAGCAGATGAAACATCAGAAAGCATAAATACCATTTTTAGACCTTGATAATCTACAGATCATATCAAGAAGGTCTGCTATGAGACACATCTGTTCTGATCTGAGCATTTCAGGTGATGCCAGTACACTTGGCTTGCACACCATATACTGAGTAGCAATGGCTTAAAGCAAAGCAATCATCTTTTCTGCTAGCACACTGGTTTTCAACCTGGGGTAATTTTGTTCTACCTAAGAGGAGGTCCTGTTGCTCAACATCCTGTAACACATAACCCAAAATGCCAGTGGTGCTACTGTCAAGCAACTGCAGCAGAGCTGTTTTTAACTCTGCATGTACACTGGAATCAAATGGGAAGCTATGAAAAATATCAGGGCCACTTCCACTTTGGGCAGTGAGTAATGGGCATCAGACTTCACTACCAGGTTACAAATAAAATAACACAGCACTTAAAACAAGGCTGTGATACTTGAGAAAAGGAAAGTAACTAAGATATGCCACAATTTGAGATTATATTTACTATAGAGAGAAGACTAAAAAAGCTTCACAGAAATCATGCCATCAATAAACTCTCAGAGCAAAACTCTAAGCTCTTCACAGGGATACAGTAAAATCTGTAGCTTAAGGATCATAACAGCATTTCCACTGAGATCTGGTACCAGACAGGGATGCCCACTCTGACCACTGCTATTCAATATAGTTCTGGAAGTTCTAGCCAGAGCTATTAGGCAAGAAAAAGAAATTAAAGGGATACAAATTGGGAAGGAAGAACTCAAACTATCCCTCTTTGCAGATGATATGATTCTTTATTTAGGGGACCCAAAGAACTCTACTGAGACACTATTGGAACTCATAGAAGATTTTGGCAAAGTAGCAGGATATAAAATCAGTGCACAAAAATCAACAGCCTTTGTATACACAGACAATGCCATGGCTGCGGAAGAACTTCTAAGATCAATCCCATTCACAATAGCTACAAAAGCAATCAAATACCTTGGAATAAACTTAACCAAGGACGTTAAAGATCTCTACGATGAAAATTACAAAACCTTAAAGAAATAGAAGAGGATACCAAGAAATGGAAAAATCTTCCATGCTCATGGATTGGAAGAATCAATATCATCAAAATGTCCATTCTCCCAAAAGCAATTTACAGATTAAATGCAATACCAATCAAGATACCAAAGACATTCTACGCAGATCTGGAAGAAACGATACTGAAATTCATATGGAGACACAGGAGACCTCAAATAGCTAAAGCAATCTTGTACAACAAAAACAAAACCGGAGGCATCACAATACCAGATTTCAGGACATACTACAGGGCAGTTGTTATCAAAACAGCATGGTACTGGTACAGAAACAGATGGATAGACCAATGGAACAGAATAGAAACACCAAAAATGAATCCAAACATCTACAGCCAACCTATATTTGACCAAGGATCCAAAACCAATCCCTGGAGTAAGGAAAGTCTATTTAATAAAAGGTGCTGGGAAAATCGGATTTCCACATGCAGAAGCAGGAAGCAAGATCCTTACTTATCACCTTACACAAAAATTCACTCAACATGGATTAAAGACTTAAATCTACGATACGGCACCATCAAATTATTAGAGAACATTAGAGAAACCCTGCAAGATATAGGTACCAGCAAAGACTTCTTGGAAAAGGCCCCGGAAGCACAGGCAGTCAAAGCCAAAATTAACATTTGGGATTGCATCAAATTGAGAAGTTTCTGTACTTCAAAAGAAACAGGAAAGTGAAGAGGCAACTGATAAAGGGTTAATAACCAGAATCTATGAAGAGATCAAGAAACTCCACAACATCAAAACAAACAACCCACTTAAGAGATGGGCCAAGGACCTCAATAGACATGTTTCAAAAGAGGAAATCCAAATGGCCAACAGACACATGAAAAAATGCTCAGGATCACTAGCAAACAGGGAAATGCAAATCAAAACCACAAATGAGGTTTCACCTAACCCTGGTTAGAATGGCTCACATTCAGAAATCTACCAACAACAGATGCTGGAGAGGATGTGGGGGAAAAGGGACACTAACCCACTGTTGGTGGGAATGCAAACTGGTAAAGCCACTATGGAAGTCAGTCCGGAGATTCCTCAGAAACCTGAATATAACCCTACCACAAGACCCAGCCATCCCACTCCTTGGAACTTACCCAAAGAAAATTAAACTGGCAAACAAAAAAGCTGTCTGCACATTAATGTTTATTGCAGCTCAATTCACAATAGCTAAGACCTGGAATCAACCTAAATGCCCATCAACAGTAGACTGGATAAAGAAATTATGGGACATGTACTCTATAGAATACTATACAGCAATCAAAAACAATGAAATCCAGTCATTTACATCATGCTGAATGAAATAAGCCAGTCCCAAAGGGACAAATATCATGTTCTCCCTGATCGGTGACAACTAACCAAGCACCAAAAAGGAAACCTGTTGAAGTGAAATGGACACTATGAGAAACAGTGACTTGATCAGCCCTTGTCCAGACTGTTGATGTACAATTTAATACTTTATTCATTTTAGTATTTTTTTTGTTCTAGTTAATACTATTGGTTGAATTCTGTAATTAACATACAATTATTCTTAGGTGTTGAAACTTATATTTAAGAGTGGGAATAAGAGAGGGAGGAGATGCACAATTTGGGACATGCTCAATCAGACTTGCCCCAAATGGTGGAGTTAGAAATGTGCCAGGAGATTCCAATTCAATCCCATCAAGGTGGCATGTACCAATCCATCTCACTAGTCCAAGTGATCAATTTCTGTTCACAGTTGATCACACTGATAGGTCTAAGGGTCAAAGGGATCACACAAACAAGACTAGTGTCTGCTAATACTAACTGATAGAATCAAAAAGGAAGAGAACGATCCAACAGGGGAAGCGGGATACACAGCAGACTCATAGAATGGCAGATGTCCTAAATAGCACTCTGGCCTCAGAATCAGCCCTTAAGGCATTCGGATCTGGCTGAAGAGCCCATGGGAGTATTTTAGGCATGGAAAGCCAAGACACTGTGGCAAAAAGAAAAAAAAAAGTGACCTAAATGAAAGATCTCTGTGAGTGAGATCCCAGTGGAAAGAACAGGGCCTCAAAGAAGGAGGTACCTTTCTCTGAAGGGAGGAGAGAACTTCCACTTTGACTATGGCCTTGTCGGAATAACATCGAAGTCAGTAAATTCAAAAGGCCTCCATAGCCTTGGCAGCTCATGACAAGAGCCTAGGGTGATTACTGAGGCCATAAACAAGAGTGTCAATTGGTAAATCAACAACAGGAGTCACTGTGCACTTACTTACTCCTCATGTGGGATATGTCCTTAATGTGTTGTCCAACGTGAAGTAATGCTATAACTAGTACTGAAACAGTATTTTACACTTTATGTTCTGTGTGGGTGCAAACTGATGAAATCTTAATATATACTAAATTGATCTGTATATAAAGATAATTGAAAATGAATTTTGATGTGAATGGAATGGGGGAGGGGTGGGGGTGGAAGCCATTGTAATCCATAAACTGTACTTTGGAAATTTTTTTAACTTTTATTTAGTAAATATAAAGGTAACATCCATACCTTTCACACAGCAGAATGTTACTATGCCAGATGAAAGAATGTGCCAAGTCACCAGAAGAAAACAATAGCACTTGGAGAGGTGCCAGATGGTTGACTTATATATTCAAATACATGAAGAAAAAGTTAAGCATAATTAATAAGGAAATAGAGAAAGGAAAAATGGAATGCATTTATGGAACTGAAAAATAAAGTGTGTAAAGTGAAAGATCCTTGGGGCTGGTGCTGTGGTGTAGTACGCCAAGCCTCCACTTGCGGCACTGTAATCCCATATGGGTACTGCTTCATGTTACAACTGCTCCTCTTCTGACTCAGCTCTCTGTTAATGTTCCCGTGAAAGCAGCAGCAGATGGCCCAAGTGGGAGACTGGAAAGAAGCTCCTGGCTCCTCCTGGCTTTGGATCAGCTCAGCTCCGGCCATCTGGGGAGTGAACCAATGAATAGGAGACCTTTCTCTGTATCTTTCCCTCTGTATCTCTAACTGTAACACCTCTCAGATCAAAGCTTGCCAAAAAATCATAAAATTCCATTGGCTAGGGTTAACACTACAGTCAAAAGAAGAAAAAGAAGGCACAACTAAAATACAGCAAGAGAAAAAGACTGACTTTTAAAAGTAAACAGTGCCATGGGGCCGGCACTGTGGCACAGCAGGTTAATGCCCTGGCCTGAAGCGCTGGCATCCCATTGGGCACCAGTTTGAGACCTGGCTGCTCCACTTCCAATCCAGCTCTCTGCTACGGCCTGGGAAAGTAGTTCAAGATGGCCCAAGTCCTCAGGCCCCTGCACCCATGTGGGAGACCCCAAAGAAGCTCCTGGCTTCAGACGGGTGCAGCTCCAGCCGTTGCAGTCAGTTGGGGAGTGTACCATCGGATGGAAAATCTCCCTCTCTCTACGTCTCCACTCTGCGTAACTCTTTCAAATAAATAAATAAAAAGTAAATAGTGCCTATGAAATGGTAAAGCATTCTAACCTATAAGGTACTTCAAAAAGTTTGTGGAAAATGGAATGAAAATTTAAGTTTACTTATTTTTTAAAGATTTATTTTTTTTGAAAGAGTTTAGAGAGAGCTTCCATCTGCTGGTTCACTCCCCAGGTGGCTACAACAGCTAGTGCTGGGCCAGGCCTAAGCCTACAGCTTCATTTCAGTCTCCCATGTTGGTGGCAAGGGCCCAAACACTTGTGCCATCTTCCAGTGCTTTTCCCAGGCCATCAGCGGGGAGCTGGATCAGCAACCATATGTGATGCTGGCATTACAGGGGGTGGCTTAACCTGCTACTCCATAATGCTGTCCTGGTAAGTTTATTTTGGTGCAAAAATTTTTGAAATGCATATGGAGCCATCTTCATTAAAAATGCATAAAAATTAGTCATGCATTTTAAAAAATATTTTTGCACCAAAATAAATATAATTCTATTTTCTGTGAACTTCTGGTGTCTCCTCATATTAGGAACTGAGGAGAAATAGAAGAGATTAAGGCATGAAGCAAATTGATGAAACCATGGCTGGATTTTTTTCCAATTTCATGACAAATATCAACCCATAAAAGAAGCTCAAAGAACCCCAAGTATAACAATAAGTATAATAAATATAAAAGATGATCATCCCTAGAAATCCAAAGTCAAAAAGCAAAACTTATAAGCAGCCTGAGGGACCACTGTTATAGTGCAGCAAGTTAAGCAGCTATCCCGGCACCCAATATCATAGTGTAGGTTCATGTCCCAGCTGTTCTGTTTCTGATCCAGCTTCCTGCTAATGTGCCTGCAAAGGCAACAGAAGATGGTTCAAGTGCTTGGGCTCCTGCCACCCATGTGGGAGACCAGGCTGTAATTCTTCCTAGTTTCAGCTTGCCCTACACCAGGCTGCAGTGGCCATTTGGGGAGTGAGCCAGTGAATGGATGATACCTCTCTCTCCCTCTGTTGCTCTGCCTTTCAAATAAATTAATAAAAAAAAAAAAGCCATTAAGAGAAGATGCATTATATATAGAACTTCTTAATCAGAAAAATTAGACATCTAAGAAAGCAGAGAAACATCTTTAAAATTCTGAAAGAAAAAATTCTACACCCAAAGAACCTTCACAATGGAAAGTGAGGGCTCTTAGATGGAGTCAAGAGACAGAAAGTGCATTCCACATTATTCTTCCTGCTAATTACAGTGAAAGAGTTTGGACAAAAAGCAACTATTGAAGCACTGAAAATTACAGAAAAGGCGGCAAAGGGCATTAGGGCACAAAGAATGACCTAGCTATGAATCCCCGCTCACTTTTCGTTTTTGGTTTCTCCAGTGTATTCCAGCATAGTCATAAAGCAGCCATCTGGAAACAACAATATGCAGAGACAAACAAAATTGCAAGAAAAGCCTGCTCTAAGCAGTGGACCTGGGGAAAGTCATGTGTGCAGGGCAGAACCCTATTAACTATAACTGCTCTATTCTAGGTAAATGTCATTAAAGAAGCTGTAGCTTTCTAGGTTCCCACCATGGGCCATGGAACCTACGTGTGTGTGTGTGAGAGAGAGAGAGAGAGAAAGAGTTGGTGGAGGCAGGTGGGGAAGAGGGGAAGAGGAAGGGGGAAGCCCTGAGAGAGAGAGAGTTGGTGGAGGCAGGTGGGGAGGAGGGGAAGAAGAAGGGGGAAGCCCTGTGCACAGTTGTCATCCTGCACTAGTAAGGAAGTGTACCTCATATCCTGGATTATAAAACAAGCCTTCACAAATCAAAGTTTTACAAAGTATGTTCTAAGACTGCAAGACTTGCATAATTAAACTAAAAAGAGTAGTAAAAACCTTGAAACAACCACAAATTAAATACTACACATAATTAAGATATTAAATAAGACTTCAGGAATAGTACAAAATATTTTGAAATGAATAAAAGTACAATATATTAACATTTACAGGACATTTATAGCCTTGAATGCGTAGGAAAAAAAAGTGTTCAAATCAATATCCTAAGCTTCTGCCTTAACTAGAAAAAAGAAAAATAAACCAAAATCAAATGGAAAGAAAGAAAACACAATAGGAAAATCTCTGAGCAGTTGAAAATTTTAAAGATACACTACTGAATGGGTCAAGAGACCTCTGGGAAATAACTAAACAAATTAGAAAAGAAGAAAAGTTTCAATTTAATTTACACCTGAAAAAACTAGAAGAAATAAGTACATGGGGTAATGGACTTAATACAGTGTGAACAGATTAAAATATCACATTGTACTGCAAAAATATACTGTCCACTAAAAATTAAAAGAAGGCCAAGGAAAGATGCAAATAAAAATGACAGCACATACCAGTAAAATTGACAACAGAAAAATATAGGAGAACCAAACAAAAGTTGGTTCTGGGAAAAGATGAGGGAAATTGATAAACCTCTAGCAAGCCTGCCAAAGAAGAGAGAAAACACAAACTGGTGACATGCGGGAAGAAATGACTATCGCTACAGACCCAGAGACATCTATAGAATCTAAGGGAATGCTATGAATCAGCAAAAACCTGACATCTTAGATGAAATAACCAATTCATAGGAAACCACAAACTACCAAAACTAAAAATGAAATAGATTAGGGTTGGATGAACTGTTGTGTGGGTGAAGTTCAGTCCATTACCTGTTTATGTAGAGTTCATCAGCTAAAATTAGTTTGTACATTTTTAATGGTAGGAAGAAAGGAGGTATCTTAAGGTACCTGAACATTTATAATTTTTAATTTATAAAATTCAAATTTCTTTTAATTTATAAAATTCAAATTTCAGGGACCAGCATTGTGGTATAGCAGGTTAAGTAGCCACCTGTGCTGCCAGCATCCCATATGGGTGCCAGTTCATGCCCCAGCTGCTCAATTTCTGATCGAGCTCCCTGCCAATGGCCTGGGAAAGCAGTACAAGATGTTACCAGTGCCTGGGCACCTGCCATGCACTGGGAACCTGGAAGAAGCTCATGGCTCCTGGCTTCACCCTGGCCCAGCCTCAGCTATTGTGGCCCTCTGGGGAGTGAACCTTCAGATGGAAGATCTCTCCCGCTCTGTAACTGCCTTTCAAATAAAAAATCAGCCAAACTTTATGTCCACTTACATTGTGTGTGGTTGCTTCTATGCAAAAATTAAATTGTGATGCAGCCCAGAAAGCCTGCAAATTTGACTTTTGACAGAAAAGATTCCCTACTGTTCAAATAATCTGAATCGTTTTAGTAAAGAAATTGAATTCACAGAGAAATCTTGAGGCCCCATTAGTTTCAATGGAGAATTCTATAAAACATTTTAAAAAGTGAAAAAAATTCTACACATTTTCTTGCAGAAATCAAAAAATCATAAGGCCACCATTACCCTGATGTGAAAACCAACAAAGATGGCAGAATAAAAACTACAAACAGCTCTTATGAACACAGATGTAAAAATCCTCAAAATACCAGCAATACATTAAAGGAAAAAAATACGACCACTGTTATATGGGGCTCATTTGAGAAATGTAGCATCTTCGATATGCAAACGTAGATCAGTGTCATATACCACAGTAATAGTGTAAAGAAGAGCAATATGATTTTATTAAGCCATGTGGAAAAAGCACACAATATTATCCATTCAGGATTAAAAGTCCCAGTACATTAGAAATATAGGGGAACTTTCTCAACTTGTTGAAGGTGATTTTCAAAAGTACCCTACAATCTAAATTTCGAGCAGTGATCAGTAGAGGCTGGGAAGGGTCAGGGAAAGGTGAGGAAGAAGACACTGGGCACCAAAACATAGGTAGAAGTAAGTTCAGGGTGGGATTTGCAGCACAGCAGGTTAAGGCATTAGCTAAGACACCTGCATTCCCTGTCAGAGTGGAGGTTCTACTCTGCTTCCAATCCAGCTTCTTGATAACGCACCTGAGGATGCAGCCGATGATGGCTCAAGTACTTGGATCCTTGCCATACATGTGGGAGGACTGGATTGAGTTCTGGGCTTCTGATACAGGCCTGGTCTTGGCTGTTGAGGTAATTTGGGGAATGAATGAGTGAATGGAAGGTATCTCTATCTCTCTGCCTTTCAAATAAAAAGTTTCATAACAAAAAACATTTAAAAACCTATTGCCAACATACTGCATAGAAGGCCAAAATATTCTTAAACAATACAAACTTCAGAATTCTACTTAGCAATAAAACAGAAGAAACTGCTACAACATGTGTAAAACTTGGGTAGATATGAAGGGAATTAGATGAATGAAATAAAGTCAATCTCAACAAGTTAGAG